ATTCTCTGTTACATTTTGTACACGTGCTCCTAACAGGGGATGAAATTTTGCGTTTTTCACAAGGGTGATTTTCCTATCCCCTCTGAATACCTTCCATAATTGATACAATAAAAATCTGTTATTGCAGTGCTTAATTATTTCATAAACTATTTTTTGGCTAAATCAGAAACAATGACAAAGAGTGATAATAAAAAAATAAGAAAACCTTCCTTTGAAGAATAGAAATCAGGTGGTCAGGCTCACTTATGCTTTGTGCCTGACACACTTACTCTCATGTCATTGTGTATCATGATTCGGGGATGGAGTTGCATCAGGTTTATAGATTTCTGTTTTAACATTTGTATTGAATTCTTTCTTCAGGCTGATGTTTCCTGTTGGGTTTGTGGAAAGTGTAGAAGAGAAACAAATGCTTTGTTTTGTATTCAGGAGGCCTGAGTTGCTGATGAGGAAAGAGCTCAGGGTGGGCTGAGGAACAGAGTGACACTCCCTCTCTTCCTGGCTGAAATTGATGAACAATGAAATCAGTTAAGTGCATCGGTATTTGACCAATTGAAGTTAGTGAGCCCAAACTGGATAGATATGCCCAAAGGAAAGTACTGAATTCACTTGCAGAATTAGATGCTTTACCAAGTAGAAGCAGCTTAGAGCAATCAAAAAAATCAGTCCTATGATGAGATATAAAATAAATATAATATGTTTTATTTCTGAAACTTTTCTACGTTAAGTTGTGTAGAGCTAAAATTAAGTTTCAAGCATCAGGAGTTAACAGTGTGGGTGGTTCTGTATGATCATTATTCACGGATGTGCCTAGACCATTCTAGAGTGGCTGAAGCTGACAAGAAAAGACCCAGAGCCAGGATTTGTCATCCTAGGGTGTCCTCCATAATGGTTCCATGTGGGAGCCCATGACTGGGTTAACAAATTATAACAGACCCCAACGGCCTGTGAACTTTAAGAAGAAAAATTATGCTTAGTAACTGCTTTGTAATCAGGTGCCTGTGCATCCTCACTCCTATCTCCTTGCCTTATATAGTAGAGACAGTGGTTTGCTTGCATAGTTGAGGTTTTAGATAGCACTCTGCTGTTTGCAAAGCAAGGACCCAGGCCCTCAGCTGTAAATGCTGGGCTTGTGTGCAGTTAGATAGTCTATTATCCCCAAAACAAGGACCTGGCTTGTCTGGTGGTCTGCCTTGTAATTCACATATCTAAAAATATATCTTGTTCCCTTCACCCCATGACTTTCCTAAAGATACACTAAGCCTTTGTAGTCATTGTGGGTTCTACAATCTCTGTCTCATCCCTTCTTTCCCCAAGCTCCTGCTTACTATCACAAAACTGTTAATGACTTTCTCCTTTGATTATACACAATAAATATGGGAGTATTTGAGAGGCTCATGGAGTTGGCTCCCTACTCCCTCTCGATTTCTTGACTTTTTCCAAAGAGTCTTGAATAATCATTCCATGTCAGTAAGACTTCTGCCAGCCAGAACCCACATTACCAGGTGCGAAGAATGCAGGCTTTATCTCTCCTACCCAAGGGAGAGAGAGAAGAGAATTGAGATCTGCTCCCCCATGGTCCCTTCCTGCCCCAGGGCCACACCAGTTCACCTGCAGCCTTCTGGCCTCTGCTCTCAGGGCTCTGTCCCAGGACTGAACACAGCCTTTTCTTACCTTGTCAACATTTCCTGTGCCTTTCAGAAGTCGGTCTCTTCTCTGCAATACAACCCTGGCAGATGTTATGGTGGTCAGCGTGCTGGTGAGCTGTCCCTTGTGGACACCCAGGATCCATGCTGATTCTCCTGAGTCATTTGGGATTACAGAACTGTCAAGCACCAGAGGATGCCCATTCACGTGAGGTCAACACAGCATTGCATCACTTTCATTATATTTTTGAATTTTCAGTGGAGAAGTTATTTGCAGCAAACTGTTCCAGATATTCGGCCACATGCTTTCATCACCACCATTTCCTTGTTGGTTCTGGTGCTTGTTTTAAGAACCAGGTTTCTTCTCTGGTCATGTCTAGCAGCTGGGCTTGCCCAATCCTTGATCTGCATTTGAAGCAGAATGCTTCTTCTTGATGTCAAACTGATTTTCGTATTTCTGAATATTTCGTGTACACTCAGCAACAGTTTCAAGTGAAATGCTCTTTTCTAATTTTGGTGAACTCACATTTGCTGATCTCCTGCTTTCATGCTGTGGGTAGGTTCTTCTTCCTATAATAAAAGTTAGTAATTTCATTTACTATGGGAAGGTACTGGCCCGAGGTACTTTTGTTCTTAACAGTTTTTATACAATTCACCCATTAAAATGTACAGTGGATTTTACTCTATGCCCAGAATTGTGCATCCCATTCAATCTTAGAACATTTTCATCCCCCCAACAGGAAGCCCCGTATGCATAAGCAGTCATTCTCATCTTCCCCATCTTCCCCCAGCCCCAAGGAGCGACTCTTCTCTCTCTGTGGGTTTGCCTGTGCTGGACATTTCATGTAAATTGAGTCATTTCATGTAAATGGAACCGTCTATTGTGAATGACTTCTTTCACACTGAGTATTGTTTTCAATGTTTGTTCACGTTGTGGCCTAGGTCAGTATTCTATGCTTTGCTTTTGCTGAATAATATTCCACTGTATGGCTGGGCCCCTCTGTTTACCATTCATCAGGTGATAGGCATTTGGGTTGTTCCTGCTTTTTGGCTGTGTTGAGTAGTGTCGCCGTGAACACTCTTATGGGATTTTTTTATGTGGATATTTGTTTTCTGTTCTCTTACTTGTGTGCCCAGAGAGCAGAATTGCTGGGTTACTTTGAAACCAAATATTCAACTCTCTGAGTATCTTCCAGGCTGTTTTCCAAAGTGGTCATGCTGTGTTACATCCTCACCAGCAAGGGCTGTGAGCTCTGCTTCATCTGTGTCCTCATTAGTTCTTGTTACTCTTTCTTTGATTATAACCTATTGTAGTGAGTGTGAAGTGGTTTCTCCTAGTGGTTTTGACTTGATTTCCCTCACAGCTAATGATATTGAACATCGTTTCATTGTGCTTATTGGCCATTTGTATATTGTACTTGAAAAATACATTTTCAGATCCTTTACTCACTTTTTAATTGAGTTGCCTTTTTATTGTTGAGTTGTAGGAGTTTTTTTTTTTCATTTAGAGATACAAATTCCTAATCAGATAAATGATTTCAAAAACTTTCCTCCTGCGTGCTTTTTTTTTTCACTTTCTGGATGGTTCCATTTGAAGCATAGTTTTAAATTTTGATGAACTCCAATTTAACTCTGTTTTCTTTGTTCCTTGTGCTTTTGGGGTAATATTTAAATCTGAGGCATTTTATTTAAACTTTTATATATAAAATAACTTAATTTGTAGGACTGTTCTAGGAGATGGGTGCTGTTGTTTTCCCCAGGCTATGGATAGGAGATTGAGATGCAGAAAATTTCACTGACATATCAGTGTCACAGCTACCCAGTGCTGTTGGAGTTCAAACCCTCATGTCTTTCCCCAGAATCTGTGATCTTCACAACCATGCTCCACTACTGCCTGAAATCGTTAATGAAAACGTCTTTCCTTTTTTAATTTCTTGTTAGTTTGTTTTCTCATTGTGGACCTCATTTCCTCATTTTCCTTGCAAAGATCAGTGTAGATTTATTTTAGGCCTTATGTAGGCAGAAGCATTGCTATCAGTTAACTTCTTTATTACTCACTCTCCAGTGATGATTGTTGCTAGTTGACCTAATCAAGTCATGTCTTGATAAGTCTTTCCTGCTCATGACACTAAAAACAGTCATGACTTACAGAATGCTCAAAGAAGAAAGTACTTGATTGATTTTATTTTGCTAACCAATCAAACGTATCAAGTAAAAACCCCAGAGTTGACACAGATTATAAGCCCTCCAGAATAGGGTCACTGTCTTACTTGTGTTTCATTTGTTTAGTCACAGTGTCTGGATAGTGCCTTCCTGTCCAGAAGTTTTGTGAGGATACGGTGCTCATGAATCATTGTAAGGACAGAATTTTGACAACAGACTGTGTTGTTCATTTCATGAGAGAAAAGATAATATAGAAATACTGCTCAGATCTATATTAAAATTTAGCTTGGAATTTTGAAAAGAGTTCAAGAAACCATACAAAGATCTTTTTCACTAATTTTAGATCTATCTTAGACACATTATTGTTACATAGCAGAGTAACTTACCAAGTAGATTTGACAAGAGGAGTGTATTATTGATTATTTGTTTTAGTTGAAATATTCTACCTGGGATAAAGTAATCAGTGCTTATAAATGAACAAATATGTTTGTATTTCTATGCAACATGGAAGTAGACTTCATATGTTTCTATATAATATATATGACCGTGTGTTTTAATCTGTTTTTCAGTGTTTTCATATTTTGCAGCAATGTTGTAACTTTAGAATTCTTCTAAGAAATTCACCCCCGATTCTAGTGCAGCTTGTACTGTGTATCCTGTCTTATGCATGGTATTCCACTGTCCACTCAGTGAGGAATTTCCTTTCCTATTGATTTAGTAACAGAGTTAAAGGAACTGTGATTTCTAGGCCTTTGCTCTCCATGTGTTTGCAGTTGGCTGTCAATCATGATTTTCCCTTTCTTGAGTTTCCATTGTTGAATTAGAATTTTTGAAAATAACTATTAATATGTTGCATTGGTCTCCCTAGAAACTTAATGTGTTTGTGCTTTTCAGTTTTCAATTTATGAAAAATGTTAATGCACTCTTGTTTTTAACTAGTCCTTTTCCACTAGATATTTATTTACCTCTTTAAAGTTAAAATATTTTTTCTCAATGAATGAATCAGTTTGCATATTTTAAAAGTTACCTTAATTTTTATTTTTCTTACTGTAAGTTATATTCATTGTAGAGAATTTAGAAAATTAGGATAAACACAATAATAACAATAATGGCCTCTAATCTCACCTCGAGATACAGTTGTAAGGTTTGAAATTGAGAAATACAAGTCCTCTCATATTGTTCTTCTTTCTCAAGTACGTTTTGGTTACTAAGACCCTTGAATTCCCATATGAATTGTAGCAACAGCTAGTCAGTTTCTGCAGAGGAGCCCGCTGGGATTGTGATCGAGATCACGTTGAATATACGGATCGTTCTGGGTAGCGCTGCCATTCCAAGAGCGCTGTCATTCCAAGAGTGCTGTATTATGATCCAGTAATCTGCGTGGTATGTCTGTCCAGGTATTTAGGTCTTCTTTAATTTTTTTCAAAAATGCGTTCAGTTTACATTGTATTATTTTACCTTTTTTTTGCCTTTACACTGAAGACAGTTGTGCAAGGTACTGGGATCAGTAGTGTATTTCAGCCCCACCACTTGCTGCCACCATGGATGCTGCGCTCTTGCTTTGCCCTCTGTACAGTCTTGCACAAAATAGGACATCAGTAACTCTCTTGAATGAATTATTATGTGATTGTTGGATAATGCTTGAGAGTCCTTGTGATGATGTCTTTTTCCCAGCCTTTCCCCTCTTCTTAACTATGCCCTTTCTCTTCCTTTCCTCCAGCCTGGGTTTCAGCCTGCCTGTGGCATTGATTTTCCCTGTCTGTAGACTCTTCCTTTCACTAGTTCATGATAATGTTACATGTGGGCTGTGGAAACTTGCTAGATGTCAAGAAAGAGCCAATCAATTGCATGCTACTATTTTTAGACTGTGGTATTCTTTTATCGATTGAAATTAAATCAGGCTGAACCCCTGAGCCC